GCAGTTTTGACTGCAGCTTCCAGCAAGGAAGCAGAGGGTTGGATTCTCAGCTTGGATTCTCTCCCCAGCACATTAACCCCTTGTGTAAAACATTCATTACAAGCCCTATATTCACATTTTCACTACGATGGCTTCATTATGAGAACAGTCTAAAGTCTGAACCACGACATGCCTTACTTCAGTATTTCTTCTCTGCACTGTCTCTGTGTTGCAAAGCATGCTATAGCCCACATTTTGATCTCGACCCCAGTGTGGAACTGCTTCCCCCGCATGTCCCACACCCCATGGCTCGGGGTTGCCACTGTCCGATTCTGTGGAAACAAAGGCAAAGAAAAAGCCATTGCTATTTTCAGTTGAGGATCACAAAAGCAAAGTTTACCTTTCAAAGTCATATCCCTGGATTGCACAATGCAACTGAACTGACTCAAATACTTGACGTGCACAGGAAATCACTCTTCAAAACAGAACCCAAAAGCCAAACTCACCCGTCCTCCGTACTGCAGCATGGGGGCTGGGAGCACTCGTCCTGTCACATGGGCCATCTCATCCCTGACCTTGAACTGGAACTCTTGAACAAACGGATCTGCATCGTAATTTGCACTTCTCACCTAGAAGAAGAGTTTTCCCACATTACAGAAGTATCTAATTATAATTCATATAACAAACAAAAGGCCAACAGGAGTGCTGCAGAAGTGTCCTACAGCTCCTCTGTCATTAAAAAAAGCTCACATTTAATTGCTCAACACTATCAACCTATCCCCAGTGGAAATAATTAATACCATGAGATATGTTGGATGAGATTTTTTTTGTTCCCTTAAGTTTCTCAATTGCTTGTTTGTAGTATGCTCATTCAAAAGCGTTTTGTTTACTCACACAATAGATCCAAAAGAATCCTCCTTTACAGGCAAGCAAACACAAGACTAAACAAACTAAGTGTTTTTATTACTGCATGTTCATGTCTTCCCTATTTTCTGGAACTGCTTTATTTTAATTGAAAAATTTTGGCTAACTTCTCATCTCAAAACTCAGGCTGTTTCAAATAAGAGCTATTTGTTTATAAGAGTATTCAACTAAAAATATTCAAGTTTTAAAATATTTCAAGTCAGAACACACACTGATGTAAAGATTGTAACACAAGACCCCGTACTGCTGGACTCGTGCTATTGGCATAAGCTATTTTTAAAAAATCCTATTTAAAATGTTGTTAAAATCTATCAAGTCAAAGGGCTAGAAAGAAGGAATGAAAAGACTAGGTTGGTCATATAAGAAGTTTTTGCATTAATGTCATCTAGTCCTGTGTCATTGAGTCGTATCACACTGAACTGACATTAAAGAACTCACCAGTCTGCTGATTTCCTCCTGCCTGTCTGGAGCAGATCTCGCTGTGGCCTTTATCATGGTTGATGTTTGATTGTCTGTTAGCTTTTTGATACACCGCTGGCCAGCTACAATATTACAGACCTTGAAGAAAAACCAAAGCATCAATACACAACAGGAGCACACCCACAGCTCCCAACACACCGAACATCCGCCCTGCTGTGCTATCACTCCAAAACCCCCACCAACGTGTTTAAGCAGCTGCATGTTCTTTCTCAGAGTTCTAAACTGCAAAGCACTTTCTGAAATGGAGATAGAAGAACAAGGACCCTGTAAATCCATAAAGTCACTGGCACTGTGGGGTGCTCAGCGCTGCGGAACGACAGCCTGCCAGGAACAGGCTTATCTGAACAAGTGCCTTACTTCTAAAGGCAGGTAGGTGTGTTTCTGTTCTTGTCCCACTTGTAGGCAAGGAAGATGAGGGTACTTCAGCTGGAGGTTGTACTTCTCTCTGAAATACTGTGCTACTGTTCTCTCCACAGTCTGCCCGTTTTCTAGCTGTAAAGGAAAGCTGAAAAGACATCACATTTTAATCAGCCGTGCAGAAATCTTTACTGGCAAGTATCAACACCCCCCAAACTAATAAAGTATCAGGTCCTGTTACACATTCACTGTTAAGCTCTCACACATTTCATGCTCTGACAAAAAGCATCTCACGTTTGGTGACTTGCAGGCCTCCTGGTTACGTTACAGACTCGGTATTTCCTTCTCATCGTTCCACAGTGAGTCACTTCTACCTTCAGACCTGCACAAAAGGACCAAAACCCCTCATGGCAAAACTACACAAAAATTTGCACAGGTGACAAGATTTCATACAATAGAATGTGTTCTAAACCAACAGCTTTGATGGTCAGCGTCAAAGAGCAGAAAAGAAATTACTGTTCCCTAAACACTTTGTTTTCATTGTAATTTGATTTCTGATTAATCAGGTATTATGCTTAAAAAAACCCCAACATATAATAAATGTTCAATGTCATCAGAATTTCTTGTAGCAGTTTCATTTAAGAGAGATGTGACTAATCTCAGACAGATGGCTTTTTTCATCACATTCTTTTGTTCTCTTCCTTATCACTGTATACCTCTTAAAATTAGTAGTTCCAATATAACTGAAATTAAAAGGGAAAAAAATCAGATTTCTATTATATTGTTCATTTTCCCCCCTAGCTTTGTGTCCACATTCAGACTGTAATTTTAATTTCACTGACCAATTTTAACTTCAGATCTTGAGCAGCTGAAGATCTCATCTGGAAGCAGTCAGCCTACACACCAGAGGCTCAGACTTGACTCTCCCCACAGCAGTGACAGCAGCACCAGCAGCAGCTTCCAGGGGCCTCAGTGGCTATTGCTGTGAAGTGTGCAAGCTCTGTCCGTGCTGTATGCAGAGCAGACTCAACATCTGCTCAGAGTACCGAGCTTATCCCACCAGTGCTGTGGAGCATTGGCACAGTTATGTCCTTCCCTAGCCTCACAGAAGCAGAGGCAGTTGAAAACAGAGCCCTATTACCCAGAAGATTCAGCCTGCACTCTACCAGTGAAGGCTTTTGGGAAGGCAGTGGATGACTTGTCCTGTTGAGGCTGATGGTGATTGTGGACCAGACAATACCCCACACCAAGTCAGGTCCCAAAGTATCAGAGAGCAGATACCATGTTTAGTTTGCTAGGGATACAGACAGCCCAAAGTAGCATCAACTCTACTCCACTGGGCATCACTATCAACCCAACCACCTCCACTGCCCCAGCACAGCACTGTCCTGGGTTCAGCTGGGATAGGGCTGATTTTGGGAGAGGGCAGAGCCACGACAGCTGACTCAAACCAGCCAAGGGGATATTCCATCCCATATGACATCACACCAGTATATAACTGGGGGAGCTGGCTGAGGAAGAGGGATTGCTGCTCAGGAACTGGCTGAGCAGTGGGATCTGGGTGGTGAGGAATTGCACCAGGCACCACTCACTTTCTATATATTGTTTTATTACTATTACTGTTATGATTATTTCTTCTCTCCTTATTTTGTCCTATTACACTGCTCTCATCTCAAGCCATGAAGTTTTACCTTTTAATTCTGATTCTCCTCCCCTCCCACCATAGAGGGGAGGAGGGAGAGAGTGGCCCCATGGGGCTTAGTTGCTGGCTGGCCTTAAATCATGACAAGCATTAAGAGAAAATATAAAAAAAAAGAAACCATGAAGCACTGTGGCCAAGCAGAAAAGGGCTGTGAAGGCACAGATATCTGGAACCCATTCACTGCTTTGTCATTAATCTGCAGTGACACTACAGAAGGCACTGCCCTCCCACAGAGCTGCTCAGGCTGCCAATTCTTCAACACAGGGTTTGCTTCACTGCACGTGATCACAACATCTTGGCTAGAGTCCCCAGATACTACAGTAGTGAAAATAACTATTGTCAGCAAAGGTAATCTTTCAGCATTGTCTGATTACAGAAACAAAGTCTCCAAGGCACCCACAGTCAAGCAGGGACAGCTCCTCCTTCTCCAGTTACTTGTCTTCCAGAATGAAGACAGACAGACTTAAAATGGGGCATGCTGGGACTACTACAAAATAAATTCCTATAATTCTTTTTCCACTAATGACTACTCTGTTAACATATTCATTTATTGCTATAGTTCAGGATTATTTTTTTGCTGTCCAGTATTTCAATGTACATCCAGTAACACAAGTGTTTAGGAGCAGAGCTCTGAGGAGCTGAGCTTGTTCAAAGCTTCTCTCTGCAGATTACACTGCAATGAAATATGGAAGGCACAGGAAAACACAGCAAGAAGTAGCATATATGGAGTGAAGCTGCTCAAAGCAGCAGCTGATGCAATTCCTTTGGAATGGATTCTGGCCTTCAGCTGCAGGTTACAAGCAGCACTTGTTCCTCCCTAAGGCAGCTGGTTACTAGAAGTCACTGCACCAGCACACTTTCAAAGAATCAATGATGTTAGCTTTGAAATCCATTTCCACTTTGCCTCAGCATTTACACAGCAGGAGACCTGCAGCACAATACCACTACAGCTTCCACAACCCAGCTTAGGAAAGGTCAGCCACCCAGCAGCCACTTAGCTCTGCCCAGGCAATAAACAGCACAAACTCCTTCCCTCCTTAAGCCACTGGCAATGTTCCTCATCTTCTCTCTCTGTGGAGCTGTGTTGTTTCATTCAGGGCTGGAACCACAAGCAGGGCGCGCTGCAGCTCTCCTGGCAGTTCCAGGCCCTTCTGATGCATGCTAACCAGGAGGTTTCCAGTTCAAACTAGTCCCTCAGAACAGAATGTGATAGCTGGGACAGAACAGACACATTTCTACTCACCCTTTATCTCTTTGGTGAATTTTACCCGATGAGAATCAGTCAGAGGTCTTGGTTGTTCATCGATATTATGAATGTCAAGAACTTCACACATAAACTGAATTACAGGTTGTGCTTTGTAGAAGGCAGTGGCAGAAACTAAAAAGAGCAAAATACTAAGTGTCAAAAAACCCAGGTCAGAATGTTGTGGATCAGTACAGAAAATGAATGCTTTTTAAAATTCCCTGTAACCCTCAAGCAAATATTGTGCTGCACACATTTCTAAAAACAGATCAGCAAGCCTTGCAACAATCAAGTATACAGAAGCCAGCACAGGGCCCACAGTGACACATCAGTCTCCAGTACAGTCATCCTGCAACTACTCTGCATTTCAGGGTTCTGAAAGGGCCTTTCCCCTGATAACATTTATTTCTAGAGAGCTGTAATGTCCCCGAGAGACATTCCCCTTCTGCTCAGCAAGGAGCCACAAGCAGAGGCAGCATTAACAGCTCTCTGCTGAAGACTTTTTAACAGGAAAAGGTGAGATTATTCCATTAGTAATATCATTTTGTCAATGATGCAATCTGATCAATTACTGCAACAATATTTGGTAGAAACCCCAGCACTATTCTGACTATATACAACTCAGGTTAGTCTAGTGGTGTGTGCAACCCTCCATCTACCAAAACCTCTCCCCTTCCTCACACAGGAGTGACACAACCACAAGAGACAATACACAGTTTTTGAACAGGACAGTTGACTCATTCCATGGAAGGAAGACCATAAACAATCTCCTTGACAAAGTTAAAAGCAATTGAAGCAACACCTTTTAGGACACAAGGTGAGGCAGCACTAGATACAACTCAGACACCAGCCAACTGCTCCATACACCTAAAATCTGAATGGCAACAGCAGGAGAGAAACACCCAATGAGCATTTTATTAGTTTTCCAGATCTGAGGTACCAAACCCACTACATCTCTGTGCTAAGAACAAAACATTCTTCAGACGTGTGTCACTTCAGCAGGCTGCCAGCTCCACCTGACACCCTCGGGCCAACAGCTCCGGCCAGTGCTGGCACCAGCTGCTGGCCTCCCACAGCAACCCAAGTGACACAGGGAAAAAGTCTGCAGGGAACCTTGCATGAGTAAAATCACCAGAACAGAGTCAAGCGACGGGATTCGAACGGGATCTCCGAGCCACAGTGTAAAGGGATTGCCCTGTACATCGTAGCTTGCAAAGTTCTTGAGTTCCTCATTCAGGGAAAGGGCAGAAAAAATTCTACTGAGAGTTACTGCCACACTTTCTAATGCTGATTAAAAAAATCCTGCTTCACAGAAAGTAATAGTGCAGTACATCCTGAGCTGCTGTAAATACTCTTGTCCTGCCTGGGCTGTGTTTCTCTCAGCACCTGGCACACAGACACCAGCATTTGTTATTTCTCAGACCTGGAGGAGTTTTACACTCATTTTTCAAACAACAGCTACACTGCAGCTGCTGTTTGAAAGGCAATTTTAGAAAAACAATCCCATCTGGAGTCACAGCAGTGTCATCCACAATTCAGGTAAACCAGAGGCAAAACACTGATCTGAAAATTTTCGTGGTGAAAGCTCAGTATTATCTGCAACATTCTGTTATGCTCCAAGGCAGACACTAAGCACAACCTGACCTAGAGTGCTTAACCCAGTGGAAAAAAGACAGATTATTTACTTCAGGTTTATAAAGTATTTCAAACAGACAGTGAGAACAAAATGTGCATAGAGAAAACTTCAGGCAGCACCTGCATCTGAAACCCTGACATGTTTCAATAGTGGTTTAACATCTAAATAGACTCAGAGTGCTTAGAGAACCAGGGAGCCTGACACAGGCACCAGTTGATCTCTGATGCATTCATCTGGGACTTAATAAAGTAGTGCAAAGCAGAGCTGGTTTTGCATAAGAAAGCCCATCTCAATTAGTCCTATTCATAAAAGTGTTTGTGATTATTTTGCAGAGTTGAACAAAGTCTTGAACAAACCTACTGTGGACAGCTGCACAGAGACATCTTAAGCAATCTGCCTGTACCACTGTGGAGGTACCAGTACAGAAAATGAGGCAGGAAAACAAGCTAGGCTAGGCTTTTCCCTTCATATACAGTGATTTTATTTATTTTTTTCATATAGCAGGTAAATTTCTGCCAAAACACTGACATGAGAAATCCACAAAAAAAGGACTTGGATCTCTAGGTAGCCTTTGCTGCACAGGTCTGGTGTGAACTGGTGCAACAGAAGCCAGTGCATGCACACACACACCTCATTACTTGAGCCTCACTCTTACCATTACAACTTCTGCAGCAGGCTGACTTCACAGTGTTGTGTTTCATAAGTATATTACAAGGGACAACTACCAAAACTTCAAACAATCACATGCAAGTTATCTTTCAGGTAAAAACCCCTTGTCTATAAAGCCATAAAAGTTTGAAAGTTTTCTTATTCTGATATGAACTCTAGCAAAATACTGCAAGCTGCTTTAACTCTTTATTATTTACAGTATAAATCAAGAAATCAACATACAGGATAGTTCCTGGTTACAAAATCTCTCTGCACAGGCAGTACCAAAAATTATCATCACACAGAAATGTGTTACCACAAACTCAAGCAAAATAACCAAATGACAAGGTCATTTTTAATCTTACAGGCATGTTTGTTAGCTCTTAACCCTGAATCCCAGCATACCATCAATATTGAGCATCATCTTCCACATGGCAGGCCGCACGGACTGATGGAATCCAAACCAGACCTCCCTGCCTCCCCCCAGGGGGTGGTCATAGCCTTCTGGAGCTGAGAAAAAGGAGCGGCCCACAGGAGTGTACCTGGTGAAAAAGATGACCACATGTTTATGCCATTGCTCCCCAAATAGAAAAAGAAAAAGATTGTAACACATAAGAATCACTGTTTTTTTGAATGCTGTGCCTAGAATGATGCTTAAACAACAGGCTCTGAATGCTTCTCTTCCCATCTTAGGGTTTTTAAATTTAGATAACATTTACTTGTTTCAGCAATGCACAACCACTTTCAGTTTGTACAACAGATCAAGGATTCTGTTACCATTCCCCCTCTGACCTTCCACTTCCAGCAAGTACTATCTCCACCACAGCAGATTCTGTACAGCAGCACTGTATGTGCTGGACTGACCCTCCAGTATCACTTTGCACGTTTTACTGGGGAACATTTGAGCACAACGTGCACTGAGAGACACAACAACTATGGCAGAACAAAGAACCAGAGAAAGGAATGTTTCTGTCTCTGGTGGCAAACAGCAGCTCGTGAACCTTCACATCTCCTCACGCTTGCAGTGGCCAGGCATTAGTACAGAGGTTAACATCTGTCACACTTCCTAAGGATCCAGGGTAGCTCAGGATCGTTGGCTTTCCTAAAACCCCAAGTCATTTTTTTAGGAGTCAGCTACACCAAATGAAAACCACCAGTGCAAAGCCATAGTACTGTCTAAAGCCAGAAATCAGACTCTGAACAGTAACGTTCACTGGCCAAATACAGCAATATCAGTTTTGGCCTTCTCTAAAGTTCCAGGGTTCTGAGATAAACTATTAACAGCCTGTGTCAGGACAGGTACCCAGTCTCCACTCTGCATTTAAAACATGAGGAGCACACCCCCTTCATGAGTGTGTTGATGAATTAAAAAGCTCATGCTTTTACACAGTCACCACCACCCAGTGCATGGTACTTGGCTCAACCTGAGTGGAAGAGACCAAAGCAGTTCTACAGCACACTGTAACCTCACAGGATTTCAATTAAAGCCTATTCTAATGTTTCCTTTTTCTTCATCTTTTCAGACAAATACATCACCTGCTCTGGAGTTTACATGTCTACAGAAACACACTCTACATAACCACTTCACTCTCCCCCTTCAGCTCAACCAGCTGTGCTGCATAAGGGGAATGCTCATTTTTCTTTTCACCTGTGAAGAAACAGGGATGAAGGTCTCCCAGTGGGGATACTTCAGGTAAAGACAGACCACAGGAAGACAGTGAACCTACTTCATGGAGGGGAGGTGTCGTAGCACCACATCGACAGCATGAACAGGGTTAGTGCTGATAGGTTTGTCTAGTTCCAGAGGCTCAGGCAAGGTTCTTCCTGTCAAAACTTCATGCAGCAAGTGCCAGCTCACCCGAGAAACAAACTTTATTGACACTTTGAAGGGACGATCTTTTCCACCTTCTCCTGGTAATGTCACATCCAAATCCACCTGGGTGGGGGAGGGGAAAAAAAAAAGCAGCTGTTTCATCTCCAGTCTGGTAGCCTTGAGTTTCCAACTCCTGATAACTGGGCCAGAGACACAAAACCTCAAATATTTAGGACAAAGCACATTTGATAAAAGTACCTTAACCAAATGCACAAAATAAAGATCACTGGGTCCTTGCGACCCAGAAGGGGATCATACAATTCTTTGTCATATTGAATCAGAAAACTCCCAATTCCAAAGAAACTGCAGTTCAATGTAATAGAACTTTATTGTAAGATACTGTGCCAGTCTGTAAAACTGAGCATTTTTAATAGATTTTGCTGTAGAAAGAGGTGACTAAATTCTAGGGGAGGTTCTGAAAATAACTGTTACACGCATGTTTGCATACATTGGAATGGGCAGAAAACACTTCAGAAGGACTCCAATACAGATACTGTAAGATACTTCCAGTTTTTCTGAACTCTGCAATATTACAAGTTGGGCTTGTTTCTTCCTTCCCACGAAGCTGTTACAAGCATCTTTCTCTCCCAGGTGTCTTACCCCAGTAGTGGCGACAGGAAGTGGATTAGCTGTATAGAGGCTTCTCTTCCCATCATAAACTGGTCTGCGGTCCCCAAATATTGTCACTTTAAAATGCTGCACCATTGAGTCCACCACCTCCCTAGAAAAGTTGATATTTATGTTTAAGATGTTTTCAGAGCAGTATCAGACTGGAACTGGCTGCCACACACCCTGTGTTTTGCTGAAGGAGCTTCAACAAACATATTACTCAAGTGAATTACAGAACACCCACTGCTGCTCCAAAAAGGTGCTTCACAGACTTCAACTGAAATAACAGATAAACACTGAAGTATAAAATAATAAGCAATGCAAATGCTCAAACATTGGACAGCATTTTTGCTGAAATAATTTCAGAAAGTCCTAGAAATGACTGAGGTCTTTGTATAACTTTCATTATAGAAAGCAAGGACACACTTACCTTGGAACCCCCATGCTGGCACTAGGAAAAACTAGCACAATCCCAACAGCAGGCTGTGGCAGCTCACAGGGGCTGTGGCAGCTCACAGGGGCTGTGGCTCTTTCTGCTGTCTACCCAGAACACCCATCTGCACTTAGCTGACAAGAGCTTTCAATTCTGCCTATGCCATACATAAAAACCAAAAAAGTACCTTAAAAAAGTCTTAGCTTTAAGTCCTTAATAACTGAGTTTTTACAACAAAGTCAAGTAAAAGGCTGATCAGCTATAAATTATAACTTTGCCTAACTTACTTTATTACAAGTTGATGGCAATACAGAAAATAGTAACCTGATACAAGCCTTGACATTAAAAAAAATAATTCATCTTCTATAAAAAGGCTTCTTGATACAAGTAGTTGATACACCAGACCCTAAGATACTTTTGCAATAGCTCTGAAACTTGCCTTCAGGATTCAATTTCTTTGGGGATTTTTTGCACTTCAGTGGCACAACAACTGCATCTTACTTAACACACTAATCCCCTTATTCTGCAGAAACCAAACTCCACTTCTAGGCCAGCCAGCACTCTTGCAGAGCAGAGCCTCCAGGCACACAGGTTCCTGGCCAGGCAGCAGTAACCTAACACACTTCAGAAAGGGGATAAATACTGAATTCCTCCACAGCAGAGTGAGCAGCAGCAGCACTTTGACCTCCCAGCTGGGCCTTGGGGAAAGGCAAGAGAAGAAATTCTCCATTTCACAGCTCTTTGTGTGACTACAGTCCCAGAATTCAGGTTCTCTCCCTGGCTAGAGGCACATCAATACACTGCAGAAGTTTCAGAACCCTCCTCAGCAGGTGGCTGTGCACCAGCCCCCCTGTACCCAGAGCTGTGCCCACTCCAGATTTCAAACCCTCCCCACACCCAAAGGCTCATAAAGGTGCACGTGGATTTTAAAAAACCCAGCAACTATGCAAGGAACTAAAAGCTCTATCTGCTCCAAACACAAGCCTGCAGACAGGAGGTTTGTCAGAAACTATTTCAGAAAAGCTGAGGCTGTGTAAATCCACTGACTTCAAAGTAATTCAGCACAGAAGAGAAAGGGAGAAACACATTTCCAAGGAAAATTCTTCAAAGGAGAAATTTCAGTACCCTGATTTCAATTTAGACCAGGGAAAGCCACTCTCCAGGCAGCCCACAGCACACTATCATTTATTCAGCAGATACTGTATTCTTTTATTTGCCTCATTTATACAAGCTCTTGCACTTCTTAACTAATGTCTGCCACATTTTTACACATAGGAAAGTTGACATAGGAGTATTTTAAATAACCAGTTTCGTGGTTCCCTCCTTTGAAACAACCACTATGTGTGCAAGATTTACACCATTTACATACTGCATTTGCTGTCAAAGTGAAAAACAAATTTAGTCTTTCATTTGAAAATATCTGACTATTAAAGCAACTCGTTAGGTTTGCTGCCTGTGTTCAATGAGTCTTCTCAGTTTACCTTGACAAAAACCAGGTGACTGCTGCTACCAGCTGAGAACACGAATATGGAAAAGTAGATGATGTCTTCACTGGTAGAATAGAAAATTGATAAACTTCTGGACACAGGTCCACATGCATTTGAGCTACACCTACACTGTAACAACTAAATTTATGAATGAGAAACCTCACAAAGCACTTAAAATTAACACCAGTCTATAAAAGCTCTTCTGGAAAGCAACAAACCACCACACACAGTAACAAAAGGCAAAAGCAGCTGTTAGACACTTAGCCTGAGACTCACAAGAGGTATGAAAAGTTGCCCCAGCTGCAAACATGCTTCCCAGGAAACCCATTTCATTCAGCTAAGCAAAAATCTTGGTCATTTCACACAGAGTTACTTTGCAGACTCAGACCACATGCTTCTGCCTCTCTTCACATGAAGGAACACCTTCAGAAGATACAGCCTTTATCTAAAGCACAACCAGCTAAAAGAGGCTGTGACTAACAAACTCTGGTTTTGGAAACAAGCTTGAAATGACCCTACAAACAGGACCATTAAAGGCATTTTATTTTTTGTTTAAACTTTAAATAAAATTTAGTTGCTATTTTAAAACTGATGAAACAGATTTCACAAGAGACTTAACAAGTAACTCCTCCTAAAAATACTATTCAATGCAGAGAAGAAAGACAGGAAATACAAAATGTTGTAGTCTTTAAAAAGGAAAAAATATTATAGCTGTAACGTCAGGTTTTCAACTAACTACTCATTCTGAGGAGGCTTTACTGGCTCCCAAACATTATGGGGTTTAGGACAAAAGACAAAGACCATACACAAAGAGCTACACGAGCAATCTGATAAGGCTGCAGAATCCAGCCCTCAATATGTACAAGTTTGTTGGATCACTAAATGAACAGGGATATAGCATATGAAAATATTCTCTCCATTTAACCACCAATCTAGAAATAAAGCAGCCTAGCAAGGGATTTAACTGACCCTAATATGCAGCAGCCATGAAAATGAGATTCAACATGCTCTAGAAAAGGTGACAGGCTGCAGGTGGAGCTCACATCAAGCCTGGCCATTTCAAACACACTGAGCTGACTCCAGAAACAGCTACTAAAAAGGGGAAAACTTGAACACAGATGCTCCTGAGAACTTGCACACAGGGCTCCAAAGCATAATGCTCACTTTTTAAGCTACACAGAGACAATATTTACTTCAGTAGATCCCTCTGCTGCTTAAACATTTCAGTGTAAGTGACAAGTTTCACCTTCTTACCTGTTCACCCTCCGAGGACACTTATCTGGTTTGATATCCACCTCATAGAGGTAGACATCAATCTTTGGGATTTCAACTTGGAAGCAGTTGGCCAGCAGTTTAATGGGTTTGCCCATGGTGCCATAGCCAGGACGTCTGGGCACCATGAGCAGGGGCTGCGCCCCGACGGGTCCTGCAAGAGAGAAAAAACCATCACGGGTCAGCAGACGAGCACAGCAGGGCTGCAAGGGGACACTTCAGCCCTCTGGGATACACAAGGCTCCTTCTGCCTGCAGGCACACACACTGGTCTGCCACTGAGACCTGCTAATTAATGTTTTAGTATCCCAGTTTTAGGCCATTCTCTGAACCAACTCATGGGACAAGCAGGCAGGCACCAGAGCCAGCACATGGGAAGAAGGGAAAATTACCTCAAATTGCATCAAGATCTGCAATAAACAATGGGAATTCTTAAAGTCTGTTAAAAATGCCTGCCTAGTAATACACATTACATTCTCCCTGGTTATCTATTTAATTTACTTTGCACCACTTAGATGAGAAACTCCAGCTCCAAATCTGGGTTGCTCATAACTTACAAAACCAAACACAGTAGTAAACACGGCAGTAGTAATTCTTGAAAGTGGGCTATTTCTACTTTAAAACCTTTCTTTCCAGTCAAGAAACAACAACAAAACCAACATGATTTGTAGCTTGAGTTCTAAAACATTACTCATCATAGAAATGCCATGATTTACAGAGCACTCAGCTGAGGTTAGTTGAAAGCTCTCCCCTCTCCTCCCACTCAGTGACGCAGGCAGCAATTCCAGCCCACTCCTTTTCAGAGAAGAGTTGAAATGTCAAGTGCTGGTAAAAATGTCTTATTTCCCTTTTGATTAATCTCCAACATTCCCAGAAAAAAAAAAAAAAAAATTGCATTATCTTGAAGGGAACCAGGTCCTAAGAACAGGTGAACACCAAAGTCAACTTCATACTCTAACATTTGTTTGGCTCTACCCAGAAATCTTCCAAAAAGCTTCAGAGTGGGCTTGGCTTCCAGCCACAAGATAAAACAAAAACATAAACCAAGGAGCATCAGTTAAAGCAGCCTCACTGTAGTTATGCAAAACTTGTTCCCAGCATCTGTTCTCTTCAACTTTTCCCTCATTTTAATACTGTCACACGAGTAAAAGCAGCTCTACAGTTTACTCCAAATATATTTTCAGAACAGAAGCATATGAAAAAAGTTACTACTCAACATCTGAGTGACATAAGTGACTCAGATTATTTTAATATCACAAAGACATACATGCCATAGTGTATTTTTATTTCACATCTGTAGTAAATGCTGACAAAACTGAAATAGAACCTCAAAGAGGTCACAATAGCCTGGTCTGCCCTGTCTCCCTTCACCCTACTGGTTAAAATCATGTAAAATGTAAAAAACAGTTGCTAAAATCTGTAAGCACAGAGGAAACAGAGTGAAGACACTCTTCATGCAGGTTAGCTGGGCAAAGCAGCTGAAGCACATGGAACAGGGAAATACAGCATGGCTGAAACCTTTATCATCTCCTCTGGAAGCTGCACTAAGTTGAACATTTAAACTGAGCACTCAACTGCTGGAGAAGCAACAAGCCCCTTTTTTTTTTTCCCAGGAATACCATCCCTCTGTTCACTCCCATGCTCCAGTTAACAAGATCCTAGGGACACATCACTGTCCTGGTTTGGGGTAGAACAGCACTAATTCTGTTCAGTGATTTTGCTTTTCAGCTAAAGCTCTAACTGCACTCTCTGAAGCTAGCAGCAGATTTTCACAGGCAGTGTCTGCTGCTAGCAGTGATAATGCTCCAAGGACTGGTGAGCAGACCAAGGTCACTGCCAGATCCTGCTGGCCACACGGAGGGGGCAGAAAATAAAAGTGGCATCTGCAGGGAGGAGTGGACAGGAGACCCTGAATTGACCACTGGAGTGTTCCATCCCATATCCACCATATTCAGAATAAAGCTGAGGGATCATGAGGGGCCCCCTTCTCTCTTTTGCTGCTTCTTCAACGGCTGGCATCCGAGGAGGATCCATCCACTCTGCCTTTGATCCTGAGCCCTGTGTTCCTGAACTGAGTTCCAGAATGCAGCTCTGCACCCAGCTGCCATCTGCTGCCAAGTCCAGCCTGGGACCCTTCCCCAGGGCCTGGTTCCCAGCATTGGGGTGACAGTGACATATTGCCATCGGGGGGAGTTGGGTTCAATACTGGTTTTGTATATATTTGTAGATATTCAATTTTATTGCTATTTTCATTAAAGCTGTTTTACTTTTCTTATTGGTAAGTCTCTTGCCCTTATTCCCTTTCTCTTCCCCTTTTTTTGTGGGGGAGTGGGGTTAGCAGACAGCATCTGTTCCAGGTCTGGGGGCAGCCCTGACCCATGACAACCACACAGGGGCAAAAACTGAGACAGAGAAATTACATTCTGTTACTGATACGAGGCAGGGTGTGCTTCAAAACCCCAGGCTGTGGAAGAAATGCTCTCCCCACAGCCCAGCATGGGATCAGGCCTCCAAGCTCAGCTCCTGGGAAGTGCTGGGGGGCAAAGCAAGCCAGCAGCAGCTGGTGACAAGGGTCCCTCAGCCTCCCCCCTGGAGCGGGGCCACACGCGGCTCCTGGTGTGGGGAAACCTCTCACCCTGGGAGAAATCAGAACCCAGAGCTTGGCAAACAGGATAAGTGAATAAGGAGTGCAGGTCTACACACTACTCAGCAATAGTTCTTTAAAATTCAGCTGGTTTTGCTGTTGTTTTTGTGACACACACGCTCCCTTGGACACGTTAACTTAAACCCACAAGCCTGGTGTAATTCAGTTCTGGTATCACCATCCAAAGAAACCAGCACCCACGCAGAGCATCCTGCTTTCAGACACACCAAACAGCCAGATCGAGTGCTGTGAAAGGCTCTCACTGGCTCCAGACCTGTGACTCAAACCCCAGTAACACACAGAAGACAAAGGATGCTCTCCAAGGGCAGCTGCTGCTCCCTTATCCCAGCAGTGACTCACCCACCCTCCTGCCCGAGCCCTCTGTCAAGCTGATGGAAACAAACACAAACCAAACTCTCCAGAAGCAGTTTTATTCCATGTAGTGGAGAACGACTACAACTGGCAGATTGATTCCTCCATGCTATTTAACCACTGAAAACCCAAGCTGTGAAGTTTCAAAGACCTTTGAAAGCACCACAACAGGAGGACCTGTCTCCACAGCAGGCAGAGGAACCTTCAGCCTCCCACTGCCTCCAAGAAGAGGAGAAGCTCCACACTGGGCAGAGGCCCATGGGGTTGAGAAAGAAACTTCTTTGTGTTTGAACTATTACTAATCCATCGTTAGAGCATCAGATATGTACCTGTGCCTGGTATATTCTTAAAAATCCAAGAGAAACCAGAAACAGAGTCTGCTTAGCCTGCCAGAGCAGCATTCAAGTCACAGAACCAGTTGAGGAAAGTCCCCAGTGCTGGCAGCCAACGGATTTATAACAGAACAATGGGTACACAGACAGGAGCTAAAGCTGATGCTTTAGACAGATTCTTGGAAGGCTCTTATACAGCAAGGGAGTTACTTTCACCAAGACAAAAGCTCCACCATTAAACATGAACCTTCTGAATGCACAGTTACTCACTAGAAAATGTACAGGAAAAACAGGCAGAGAAAATAATTAAGCATTTGAATCAGTAATAACACAAGGTAGAAAAAAATAAACTCTTCAGTCCCTAAAGGTATATCAGCTTATAAATTGCCATTCACAGCATCTGCTGGAGTCATTATTTGTGAACATCCTTCAGCAATGTTGGAAGATGTTTCTCTCATGAGTGAATGCTCAGGAAACGAGCAGGAGCCTCCCCAACAAATCTGCAACCTGCTAAAGCAGGAACGCTCCATCTGCTCCATGGGCAGCACCTAGAGACCCACTGCTGGACCCACACCACCTCGAGTCCCTGTTGCCTTTCAGAGGGCATTTACAGCAGGTTGCCCGTGGGCAGCTACGGGACATCACTGCCCCAGCCCAGGGTACAGGGACCTGCGCTGGTGATCGGCACCGGCCGCTCTAGCCTGGGCCACACGTCACATAACCTCCATCCCATAACGTGTAGCTGACTGAGGAGAGATGGAAGATATACCTATGAGCTTTGCTCCTATTTAGTATTTCAACAAAACCCCAAAAGAGATGAAAAGTCAGAATTGTCCCTTTTAGAGAGCTCAATGAGCAAATGAATATTTCAAAACAAAAAATTCGCTAAATGGGACTAAGTCTGTTGTTTATGAACTACATTCTGAAGAACAAGCTCATTCCAATACTATGTCAAAGAGCTAAAGTTTGGAGCAGTATTAAGAATACACGGGCCATGAAACTGATTTCAAATGTGACCCTGTGGCAGCTCCACCAACAGAAGCATTTGCTCCAACAGAAGGCAAAACCAGCGGTCAGTATTCAGACCGACAGTTTGAAAATTCCCATGAAAGTCAGATCGTATTCCAGACCAACACAGAATCCCCTCTAACGGCTTAAACGAGCTCTGAATCAGAATCTTTTCTTCTGTGGAATTATAACTGTTATACTAAAGATGAAAGATGCCAAAAAAGGGCTGTAATTTCTGTGGCGATGCGGCCGGCGGTAGGGAGCGCGTCTGGCGCGCGTCCAACGCCAGGCTTGACTCTACCTAGCAACCAACCCAAGCCCTACTCAGAATAAAGCCTGGAGAGAAACAGCAGAAACCCACAGATACTTCCAACAAACCCTTTTACAGAAAATTGAAGCTCTTGGCACGCAAGGCAGTTTTACAGCATGAAGCAAAATCCTGATTTCTAGCAGGATGCGAATAGGAAATACCCATTTCCTTACGTGATCCTCTCCCTGCAGGAGGGGACACCAGTACCAGGCTTCCAGCAAAAAATGATCCTCTTTACTACCACAGAAGCTTCAGCATTATAAACTTCCCCAAAATATTAACAGATGATTACTTCACAGCTTTGGTTTATAAAACAGTTCTAAATCTCTATTTGAACGGGTGACTGAACACGAACAGCCTTAAACACGTGCCAGAGGCCTGCACAGGTACAAGGTTCTGTACCCCTGGCTCAGAAACACAAGGCAGATTTGTCTGACAGACCCTGTCCTCAGGCTGGAGCCTGCAC